TTTTTTCTTTTTAATTTTTTAAATTTATTTTTATTTTTATTGGGGAACCATGTGTTTTTCCAGGACCCATCAGCTCCAAGTCAAGTAGTTGTTTCAACCTAGTTGTGGAGGGCACAGCTCAGTGGCCCGTGTGGGGATCGAACTGGCAACCTTGGTATTATGAGCACTGCGCTCCAACCAACTGAGCTAACCGGCTGCCCATCTCAGAGTAATTTCAATTCATATTTCTCTTATTCTGAGTCAAGTTGAGTGTCTTTTTTCTCATGGTTAAGGGCCACTTTTGTATCTTTTTTGAGGGAATTGTTGCTGTTTGTGTTCGTGCCCATTTTTCTATTGGGTTTTTTTTATCATATTTCCTTTCATTAGTGAGTCTTTGATGCATTAGAGATATTCACCCTTAATCCATGATATATGTGGCAAGTACTTTTTCCAGTTTTTAAATTTGTTTTTGGCCTTGTGGTGATTTTTTTTTTTTTTGCCAGACTAAATTTTATCAAATTTTTTATGTAGTCAAATTCATCAATCTTTTATTGCTTCTAGGTTTAGAGTCATATTTAGAAAACTTTCCTATACCCTAGTCTAAGAGATTCACCCATACAATCTTAGTACTCATTGCATATTTTACACTTAGATCTCTGACCATCGGGAGTTCATTCCTGTGTGTGCTGCAAGTTACAGCTCTAGTTTGATCTCTTTCCAAATGGCCATCTGGTTGTCTGAGCACCATTAGTCACAAAATCTATTTTGACCCAGTGATTTCCGCATGTACCTGGTCATTCCTCTGGTCGTCTGTCTATTTATGCAGCAGAATCAGTTTTTAATAATGGAGACTTTATAGTACGTGCTAATACTTGGTAGAGCTAGACCTCCGTCATAGCCTTTTTTCCCAGTTTTTCCTAGCTATCCTTACATGTTTATTCTTTCATATGAATTTTAGTATCCGTTCAGGATCTAGAAAAATATTTTGGTATTTCTATTAGAATTGCATTACATTCATAAATTTATTTGGGGATAACTGACAAATTTATTACATTGAGTCATCCTTTCCGAGATACTAAAATCCATATGATAGAGTAAACATGTAAAAGGAGCTAGGGAAACCTGAAAAAGGAAAGGCGGCCCCCGCGGAGGATCAGCGCAGAGATGCCGCCACCTGCCGCCCCGAGCTGGGTACTGCACCGTTCTTGAGCTAAGCAAATCCGTTCCTGTTGGGATTAGCTTTTGAACCCAGAGTATTAAGTCTAAAAGGACGCTTTCTTGTTCTTGTTCTTCTTCTCCTCCTCCTCCTCCTCCTCCTTGTTTGTTTGCCTTCATGCCCTCGCCAAGTGCCCGTATTCTGTTTAGCGTCAGTAGAGTTCTCCTGGGCTTCAGAGTCTACATTCTGGCCATAGAGCTCAAAGAAAGTAAGATGAACTGAAATAGCTTTGGTTTAGCCCAAATTCTCATCGTAGGGTTTGAGAAAATGCAGCTTGGTGGGAGACTAGAAGAATGAAAGGGGAAGTAAAACTAGTTCCTAGTCAGGCATTTTGCATGCAGTCATTTTCTAAAATCCTTGTGAAACGGATCCCCTAAAAGTCATGTTACAGACTAGAAAACAGTAGCCTGGCGAAATGTTAAGGGATTTTTTTTTTCGGGGTAAAATAGTGACTTTCATAGAAATATAAAATTAACATATGTCAAAGATTTTATTTCACTCATTAATTAATGAAGGAAGTAGTAAGATGTAAAAATTGGTTCCAAGGAGAACCCACAGTGCAGACCCACAGGCTAGAGACAATCAGGAATGCTGAAGTGAGTTTGCTAATAGGTACAAAATGGGTCACTATTCACAGCGGAATAATTACTTGCATCTTTACTGTACAAAATTTATTTGCATCACCGTGGACAAGAATCATTTTTATTCCTACCCGTTTTCTATCACCCAGAGAGTTGTCAAAAAGCTCAAAGACAAGGAAAGGTGCAGACCCTTCTAGAATCAGATAACCCCTGGGCGGGTCCTCTAGACAATATAGAGTGAAATTAAGTAACACCTTCAAGATATCACAGTTGCTAAGTAGATCTGGAATTCAAATCCAAATCTATGTTTCTGTAAACTCGGGCTCTTTCCTCTGTGCCAAAAAGCTTTTGGACAGTGAAGGGCGATTTTCGGCAGAGATTTGTGGTATTGACCACTCATCACCCCACTTAGTTAAAATTCCTTGGTCTCAAGAGAGGCGCCCCCTGCCGCCGCCCCCGCAACTTCCCAAGGTCTCCAAAGTCTCAGTCGTTTGCTGTCTTGCGGGCATCTGCTCCTCTGTACAGACGTGCCCCTCAGAAGTCGGTGTGGGAGGGTGGGGGTTGGAGCCTGGTCTATGCCTCAGGACGGCTGCTGCAGCCCGGTCCCTGTCAGATCTTTGGTTTGGAAGTTATAGGACGCTGGTACAGCCGGATTATACCTTCATCGTGCAGCCGCTTCCAGAGCGCTCTCTCTAACTTGAAGTCATGGTTGGTGTAAAAGATTGTTTTTTTCCATGATATGTCATAGTAGTGATCAGAGAAGCGCTCATGGCCCTCGGTGATGAAGCCGTAGGCACTCACCTGTGTAAAGGTTGGAGGAGAAAGAGGGCCTGTGGTCCCTCTCCCCCAGGCTTCCTCTCATGGGCTAACTCTGTGCGTGCTGGGGGCCAGTCCCTTTATGGGGTTCCATCCGTCGGGGTTTGGTGCAGGCGCCGGATGCATGTGCACACTCCCCCACGCCCACTCCCCCACCCTCAGGGGTGTGCACCCAGCCCAGCCATCGCCCCCTGCTGAGCAGGCCAGCGCTAGCCCAGGGCTCTTTGTCCAGGCACTCCTGCTGCTGAAGGTTGCAGAGTCTCACCTGGTCACAGAGCTGAAGGGCAGTGAGCAGCAGGAGGGCCCCAGTGGTGGGGCGGTATATTCTCCAGTGGACGGTGTCCAGGGTCTTAGACCTCAAAAACCTGTGAAATACCCCAGTGCCCACCTGTCAGGAGGCTGCAAGGATGCGAGGGACCTCTCCCCTGCATGCTTTCTGCTCACCTGTTCTTTATGTATCGCATCAAGTCTGGGTGCAGCAGCAGGTATCTGTCCAGTCGCAAGGCATCCCGAAAAGCCTCCTGGGGCCTGCGCCTGGGGGTGGGAAAGTCAACAAGCTCAGTTCTCTCCCCTCGTCTGGTGCGAGCCGGGTCAGGGTCATGGGCATGGGATAGCTGAGACTGTCCCCACCTGTCCGGCCCTTCCTTCACAGCTGCTCACTTCACAGCTCAGCCTGGGGGATGGGGAAGGTGCAGTGGGTACCTGAACCAGAAAAGTCTCTGTTTCGCCAGGGTCTGATTCAGAAGCAGTGCTTCCAGCCACTCATAGTCCCGGAGGCCTTCCAGGAAGTGCAGGTAGCGGATATCCTGAGGACCAAGGACAGTGAGTGGTCCTTCCTGCCTTCAGGATAACAGGCTGCAGTGGCCTGGCTCTAACGCCAGGCGGCCCGGCTGCCCTGCTCAGGCCTGGCCTGGCTGTCATCCCTGCACTCGCCCCAAGTGTGAACAGAGCCTGTCCAGACCACAGACTCCAGGCCCAGGAGGCCCGGCTCCCTCTGTCACCTGCGTACTCCCTTCCCCAGAGTCTGTGTGTGGCCTGGCCCTGTCCGCTCGGCTCACCTTCCCCACAGGCACGTGCTGGAAACCCCGGTTGTGCAAAGCCAGAAGTGACTGGGTCAGGGAGAAGGCAGTAAAGCCATAGAAGGAGGTCCGAATACCTACGTCCTGTTCGTAGCCCTTAGTGACAGCTCCGCTCAAGCTGGGTAGAAAGACAAGAATCAGAAGACATGAGTGCAGGAGGGAGATACATGGAGGTGGGTGGGGAGAGGAAGGCGACACAGGGAGGCAGTCGTCACGTCCAGAAATTCCCTGGAGAGCCCAGGGATTCTGCCTTCAGAAATAGACACGGAAGGCCCTATCAGCTGTCTCAAAAGAGGCCGTCTGTGCAGGAGAGAGGCCGGGGGCGCCGCTGGGGGAGGTCCAGCTCACCGGAACACGTAGTCATGGCTGTCTATCTCTTGGCCCATGTGGGAGTTGTTCAGGATGCCCCCATTACCCACCACGGCACAGCTGACACACCGGGGGCTCCCAGCAGGGAGGCTGGCCAGGAGCAGCTGCTGCTGCGGCACTGGGGGGAAGCGTGTCACCACCTTCTGCACCACTGGAACGAGGAAGGGCCCTCCATTCAGAGCCCGGGGAGGGCCAGGGGTCTGGCCCATTGTTTCTCCCAGGGCTGGTGGTCCCCAGGGAAGAGGCAGAGCCGAGACAAAAAGCCAGCCACCCTCGGCCAGGACAGAGTGGACGCCAGGCCCCCCTCCCCGGGGCAGCACTCACAGGAGTAATTGAGATCCATGAAGCCAAAGGGTGGCTTGAAGTGCTCCAGGCGGCTCCACTCACTCAGGTTGAAGTGGCTGGAGTCCAGGAAGAGGGTGAGGTTGGGCAGAAAGAGATTCTGGAGCCAGAGTGACTTGGAGGCTTTCACCTTCACGGAGTCGGGGCAGGCCTGCATGCAGGAGTGGGGCGGTCAGGCCGGGGAGGCCAGGGGGGCCGTGGCCCGGGGCTGGGGGTGCGGGAGGGGCACAAAGGGGCCTCAGAGAATGGAAGGCACGCCCCCGCTGCCTCTTCCATCCTGTCCCCAGGCCCGTTGTGGTCCGGAGGGTTCCCAGGGAGCGGGCAGTTCTTGGCCCTGAAGGCAAACACAGCTTTGTAATCGTGAGAGAAATGGGACAGCCCGTGACGTGGTGTGTGCTGCGGTGTGCTGTCGTGTGCGTGGTTGCAGCTATGCATGTAAACATCCATGTCCTGAGCGCTGCTCTCCTGTGGCGTGGGCCCAGGCTGTTTTTCTTAGGGATGAAAGAGAAGGAAGGTGGTGGAATAATCTATGCAGGAGGTCCAGACATTCTCAAGCGCTAGTGTGAGGCACCAGGTTGGGTATTCTTGTTGGTTAGTCCCGCCCCCCCCCTTGCCAGAGGATGGGGGTTCAGGGGCCAAACCCCAGAACATGTCACATTCTGTCACCCTGATTGATGACCTTCCAGGCCTTCTGTGGGCTCCAGGACAGGGCTCACACCTTCCCATGCTGGCTGGGCCAGGATTCTGGGGCCTGGCTTCCCCTCCTCCATTTTTGTCAGGAAGAGAGGATGGGATGACAGCAGAGTGGGGTGACGACAGGGGTGGAACAAGGCAAAGCCTGGGAGAGGAGCCTGCGAGTGAGGGAGAGGTAGGGGTGGGTGGTCCGCCAGGAGGGGCTTCAGAGCAGGGAGGCATAGAGCAGGGGTAGTGATAAAAACTCACCGTCTGTAGGCCCCCCACATCCAAGCTATATTTTTCCTCAAAATCCCACTTGGGCTCATACTTGAAGTTGATGGCCTGCAGCCTCGGGCCTCCCTGCGTGGTGGGGCTCTGGGACGGGGCAGAGCGTGGGGTGGCCGAGGCTCTCTTCGTGGGTGGGACCACCGATGAGTTCACTCCTTTTGTCCTTCTTCCGGTTGACCCTGCTCCTGCGGTGGTCGGCACCTCAGCCCGAACCCCTGGAATGGGTGTTCTCGCTGTGGGTGCCACCGATCTGCCCCAAGCCTTTGCTGACACTGTCCTTGCGGCTGTCGGCCTCTCGCTCTGGTCCCTCCTTCCTTCGGTTGTCCTCGTGTCCTGACTCTTCGGTGATAGTGACTGTGTCCTGTTGGAGGCCATCCCCCTGTCCTGACTTCTCGGGGGCAGCGTGTCCATCATGACGTCCTTTCTGTCCTGACTGTTGAGTAACGCTGTCCTTTCTGTGCCGGGCTCTCTGGCCGTGGTGCGGGCCGTGCGCTCGGGGCGCGTGTCCAGTGTGCTGATCTCCTGCGCTGACCCTACGCGGATGGTGGTTCTCCTTCCCATTGTGGGTGCCGGGGACGTGGCCCTTTGTGGTGACTTGGAAGACCTTTCTTTACTATTCTCTATATTCTGATGCCTGGGGACAGAGATAACTTTGGGTGAAGGCTGAAGGTTGTAAAGACGGTCAGAAGCATGACTAACATTTGTTCTTGTGCGTCAGGTAGACTTCAAGCCAGTCTCCATGAGAGATGAAGGAAAGAAGGTATCTCCACCCACGACAGAAAGTAATGGCTTTAGAAACTGACTGTGACCCATACAGAAACCTTACTGGTAGCATGGAGGTTGGGGTGCTGGAACGGGATGCCGGGAACGGAGCTGAAGGCAGCCCCCACCTGTGTGCTGCCTGCTCCATGGCTCCCAGCGGACACCACAGTCCAGATTGTGAGTTCCAACGAGTTCATGTGGCCCTCGTCCTGTCACTTCATCTCTGTAATTCTGTTGACCTTTTTTTTTTTTAAGTGCAGGGAACAAAGTTAGCCTTGTTCACAAGGAGATGGGAAAGACGTGATGGGATTAACATGAATATGTTAAGACTAGAGCTGCCAACCTTGATTTTGAAATAAAGGTCGTTGGAAAAGATCTGCCTCCCAGATTTACTTCAAACACTGCTGAAAAAGAAACAACTGCTTGCTGGCCTTGTTAGGAAACATGCACACTCAGTAAATACTTGTCCAGAGCCCACCGCATCCGCCATACCTCATGGCAGGTGATGGAAATCGTGAACGAAAGGTGCTTCCTGGCCACAAGCAAGAGGAACACTAGTGAAGAGGCAGTCATGTAATTACGATACATAGCACGCGTTGCCCTGGGGGACTTGTGAGTTGGTGGGCGAGAAGGAAGGGGCTCTGTCCAGACACCATGGCAGCATGGAGGGCTTCCTGGAGGAGCTCCCCTCCACAGAGGCTTAGGAGTAGAGAGGAAGAAGTTTCAGCTTTAGAAGCATGAAAACTCATGGTGTGTTGGAGCCGTATTTACGAAACAGAGTGGGGCTAGGGGTTGGGGGGTAGGAGATGGTCCCAAACAGGTGGGCAGGGCCAGGTGACGATGTGCATTGTGTGTCGGAGGGAGGAGTTTAGACTTTGTCATCTGTCTACTCAGCCAGGAGGAGCTACGGAAGGTTTTCACAAGGGAGATTGGCTGGAAGGAGTGTGTGCTGAGGGAAGGAGTGGGGTCACACAAGCTGACTGCCACCCCTGAATGCTTTCTCTAGCAGTGATAGAGGATAGATTCGGGGTGGCTGGTGTCACTTCCGGCACTCAGGGTTTTTGGTTCCAGGGACTGGTTGACTTTATTCTTTTTATTTTCTGCTTTTGTGTGAGACTGTCAGAAATGTCACATAATTTATGCAAATTAGTATGAGGTTCTGCAGAGAAAAGCCTAGGTCTTCTGCTCTGCATGGCTCTTTTACTGGACTTCATGGTGGGGTCTCTGTGAACGCAGGTTCCAGGGGGATTCCGGGGAGCTCTGGAAAAAGTATCTCCCTCTCTAGTGACCTCGCCATGACCCAGGTGGATTTCTGGGTGTCCTTAACTCTTGCTTCTTAACTCTTGCTTGGTGTCCTAGGCTCCCCTCACGCAGCTTGGTCACTGTTGTCCCAAGCCCCCTTTGTCTGTTTCCACCATCCTTCTAAGCCACATATAACAGACCTGCTGAGGTTATGTGAAGAGAAAAAGAAAGAGCATGAAATGTGTGGCCACTTACACCTGAGTGAGCATCCTAGCACTTCCATTTATTAGCTGGGGTGAGTGGGAGAAGCCTTCTTAACCTGCCTGACCCTCAGTTTTTGCATCTGTAAAAGGGGCTGCTGCCTTTTGCTTCTGAGAGAAGTCTGCTGTGAGCATTAAGTGATCATGTGTTCAGCATCTGGCACAAAATATAAACTCAACCACATAAGTTCCCTCCCCTTCCTCCCCCCACACCTCCCTCCCAACCCCGAGGTGCTTCGTCCCCAGTCATTCTTGATCGACCATGGACAACCTGGAGATCTGCTTGGCCTGGTCTCCAACTTCTCTGCTCACCACCCAGCTTAACCATTACTAATTCATTCTTATATGCAACAGATATTTATGGAGCACCTCCTATGGGCACTGGGCTAGTTACCGGGGCCACGGTGGTGAGCTTAACCACACACGTTCCTCCCCACATGGAGCCCGAGATCTAAAGGAGATGACAGGTCATCACATAAGTGAATGTCAAGCTGTGATTAGGAGCTGTGCCGGGAGATGGGTGAGCGTGGAGAGGCCACGGAAGGTAGCCTGAAGCCCCCTCTGTTTCCTATGCCAGTGTTGGTGCTATAAGTCGACACGGTATCGAATTAGTCATGTTTGGGGGGTTATGTTTGCTCAATGGCAATGTCCTCTCTTTCTGAAATTACAAACTGTGAGGAGGCAGCCCTACTCCAGGGCCCCGTCATATCGGTGCTTTTGAAAGACTCTCTGAGCCCCAAAGAAATGGATTTAAACAAAAGCTGAATTGAATTTGAAATACATATGTTGGGAAGAATATCTCATTCAACAAATGTTTGCTAAATGTCTACTCTGTGCCATGCGCTGGGTAGCACAGGAATACAACTTTGAATAAGGCACAGACCTTGCACCCCACAGAATACACAGCAGCTGTTATTAAAGGCAGACGACAAAGGAGCGCTTTCATTATTGGAGAAATATAGAGCTGGTCCAAGGCAATACGTACTATAGGCAGGCAAATCACCTGTGTTGACGCTTCCTCCTTTATGGCCTCCCTCCTCCACTGTGGCCCTCTCTTGATTGACGTCATAATTCCTACCTCCCTGGGCCCCACGGAAGCACATTTGTTCAGCTCCTCTAGGAGGGGTGCTCTGTTTTGACCTTGAAACTGAGCGTGGACCCAAATTCTCTTAAGTATGTTAGGAAACCCCTGGCAGTGATGTTCTTGCTTCACACCCTCCAGGGCCCCTTCCTCCTTGGAACACACACATTTTTAACTAGCCTTCTGGAGAACATGCCTTTGTTATGTGGCTCAAAGAACTTGAATGAGAGATGTTTCAGATCAGAAAAGAGAGAGGGCACGGGGCAGCGTTGGACTGTGACATGGAGCAGCCTGGAAAGGCTAATAATAGCCTTCTAGCCCTTATTCTTTTTTGTTTGGTTTGTTTTTCATTTTTAACTAAGACCACCCCCCCTCCAAAAAAAAAAAAAAGGAAATTTATTATAAGGATAGAAAGTGTCTTGAGGAACCCAAGAGCAAGAAGTGGGTGAGCGTCTCACAGGGCCTGGACCCAGGAGTCTGTCTGAGACGCGTCTCCAGTCCCTCCTCTGCTCCCTCTGAGTCCTTCTCTCTCTCTCTCTCTGCTCTTCAGCTCGAGTGGTGGTGGAGGACGGCGACCCCATAACACCTGTTCTGGGGACTATTGACTCCCCTTGCTCCCAATTTTTAATTTTTAGGGGAGAGATTCTGACCCACTTGGGTCCCTTCTCCATCCATCCCTGGTTGGGGGGTCTGGGTCACATCGTGCGTGACATCCTCCCGTCCTGTGCATGGGAGGAGGACAGTCTCAGGAGGAAGAGGGGACGGTCTCCTGAGCTGGCAGACGCCCTTAGAGTATTCATTCTGAAAGGATACCACTGCATGCAGCGTGGAAGCCAGAGTTAGCCCGAAATACCTTCTTGATTGAACTGCGCTGCCTCCAGTTAGGAGATGGATTTGAGTGCCGTGAGCGTGGGGATGAGACTCACTCGGCTCCCCTTTAAGCTGATAATTGACCTTAAGCTCCGAAGGCAAAACAAACGCTGAGGTGTTAACTCCATTTAGCCAACAGCTCTTGTTCCTCAGCTGTGACTCGCTAGATTCATCCCCACTTCCACTTCCCACCCCCAAACCTCAAGAAGCCCATGGGAGTTTTGCTCCCAACTTCAGCACCTGGCATGGCTGAGTGGGGTGGTCTTTCGTATCCCACACATCATACACGCAGCATGGAGGGCTGGCCATGTGCCTAGCGGTCATGTCCGTCCCAAAGAGGTACAGCACAAGGCGCCCCTCTCTGCGGTCGGGTGTAGTGGGAAGAGGCCAGCCACTCCCTGCAGGACTGCTTAGCCTGCAAATGCCACAAGTTATTGATGGCTCGTTTACGTTTTACAGGAAGTCACAGCAGTGACCCAGGTAGTGACAAAATTGTGTCATTCCGTTTCATTTTAATTCCCTATAATTAAATACACCTGCGATTGCTAGGGATGTGGGTGTTTATATAGGCATTACTTATTCTCAGGTATGGTATTTGCTAAATACTCAAATTGCTTCTGTTCATACGCCGAGTGCCCTGCATTTGTTTTGGCAGACCCTGTGGGACCCTGAGCTTATGTGCCATGGGCTGGGCTGGGCCGTGGGATCTTTTTTCTATTAAGAGCCTCGAGTTCAGAGGGATAGGCCAATCAGTCACATCCAAGCAAAAAGCAATTTCACTGCATAATTCTGATCTATCTGGGAGGTAAAAATATAAAATGCTGCACTTTTCAAAATAATTGTATCATTAGCAGGGAGCACACAGCTCTATTCAATCAATGAAACAAATAAAAGAATAAGAATCTGGCATCCTCCTCTCTCTAGATTCTTAAGTACACATAACCAAGGGGAACCTGAAAGCAAAGAAATGGCAAAGGTTCAAAGTTCACTTATACCTCAGGCCACGGAGAAACTGTGGGCAAGAGAGCCGTCCATTCCTGGGAATACAGCCCTCGAGACAACACAGGGGTTGTTGAGGTTGACTCACATGTCCAGACTGAAACTTGGCAATTACCCCAAATCAAAGGTCACCAAATAAGTCGGAGTAGAAGATTAAGAATAAGAAAGGAGCCGTGAAGACCTCTTTGGTTCCCTGATTGATTCTGCACTGGGCTCTCCACACTCTGTTACAGACACCAGAAGGGCTCCAGGCCAGGTGGGCCTGCCCTGGGTGACTGGCCGGTCACACTATGTCCTCTACTCTCGTCCTCCTGTCCTGGACTCGGTGACCCCCACTGTCAGCTCATGTTATCTGGACCCCTTGTTGGAGCATGCTTTCTTCCTAGGGTTACACATCTGCCCCCCCCCCGCCCCCCTGCAGTTATCCTGCTTCTCCTGGAGAGGGGAGCCAACTCTGGGCTCCCAACAGTGTCTTTACTCACTTCCTACCGAGGACCCTCCCTGTTGGGGTCCTCTCATCTCCAGCACCCACTCTGTTAGCCTGGCCTGGAGTTGCCACATTCCCTTGGTGTCCACAGAGCCCTGTCCTGTCTGGTCTTATCTGAAATGGAAACTGGCCCTTCTGCTTTTCTTTTCAAACTTAGACGTTTATTTTTCCTGGGAAATCCTGAAAGTTTTCACGTGGGAATGAGTGATTTCCATTCCAGAACTTTGAAACGTGAGATGGGCCTACAAGTGGCTTCAATGACTAAAAGCTGTACTTTGTCCTAATTCTCTTTGGATGCGGGGAAAAATGTGCATAAATCCTTATTCTGTCATTATTCGAGTGTCCTTTGTTCAAATAGAGGCCAATTCTTTTGCTTGTTTTGTTGTCGGCCAGTTCAGTCCTAATGGGGACAATATGGAGTGGGAACAACAGAGGACAAACAGCTACGTCACTGCTTCAGGGTCTGGACCCACTGTCCAGAGCTGTCCCCGAGCAGAGGCACGCTGAGCCCTCTCCGACATGCCATTCACCTAGCTGAACTCACTGGGGGCCACAGCGATGGGAAGCTGGTTTAAAAACTGGGTGTTCTCCCTCCCCAGGATACGCACATACACACCGTTCTCCCTAGACCCACAGACGTGAGTCTTGGCTTAGAGTTAAGGAGATGGGAGGCCCTTGAGGAGCGGTGCTGGAGGGTGGGATCAGGTAAGCAGGTAAGAAAACGTGTTCGACAAAAATAATGGCAAGCACAGGTCCAGCGTCATAGACACAAGCTGAGACAACCGTTGGCCAAAGTGGTGACTCACCCCTCCTTCCCACCTATCCTGTTTACTTTTCACAGGAGGCCACCTCCCTGCCTGAGAGCCTTTTGCCGCCACCTTCAGCCCCACCTTCTTAAATGCCCTCTCTGGTTCCCCAGAGTGAGCCCTTTGCCTGTGAGGCAGGTGCTCCCTCCGTGCTCTGCCAAGGACACTTATTGAGGTCGCCTTGGAGTTTATTCTGACCACACGCCTTTCCCTCTCACTCACTGAGCCCTGCCTGGCTCCTAGATTCCATCTTTCCTTTGAAGCTTTCCAGGACACAAAATCCTTCCCTCTACTCTGTGGCAGTCACTCCCTCTGTTATTTGTTTTGGAATGGAATTATGTGAACAGTTTATTGAGAGGCCTCAATGTGTGGCCCTGTTCCTATCCCTTAATGTCTTGGGCAGATTCGATAACTTTACAGTCACTTTCGATGATTAAAACTCAGTCTTTAAAAAAAAAAAGAAATCACAGGAAAGCTAAAAAAAAAAAGCCCCTAAATTCAGCCTAATCCCGTGTGCAGCTCCAGATGTCCTATCTGGTTCCAGGCTCTCTGCCATCCACCCCCTGCTCCCTCCACCCCAGCCAGGCTGGAACTAAGACCCTGGTGGGCTGTTGGAAAGGTGGGAAGCTGGAAGGAGAGGGCGGCGAGAATCCTGGCGAGGCAGCGTGAATATCGTCCCTCCCTTCTGAAGGCCCAGCTCTTGCGGTGTTATTATTTAAGTGGCCACCTGTCTGGGGTGGGTGGCTGCAGCACCCCTACTCATACTGAAGTTCTGTGGGCTTGTCTGATGCCAGGGCCCTGCTGACAGTGGTCTCTGCAGGGTCAGGAGAGGTGGCTTTCCTGGGGGCAGGGGTCTCCTTTGCACTGAGGGCCTCCCCATGAAGGTCCTCCCCAGGACAACGCCTCTCGCTGCCCCGGCAGCATTCAGTGTCTCCGAACGCTTTTCTGGAGTGGGTGTCCCTTGACTTGGCCCCAGCAGGTAACGAAGCGGTTCCCGGACTCTGGGTTGGAATCCTGGCTCTGTCACTTAAGAGCAGGGTGAACTGGGTGATTCACTTAAGCCCTCTGTGTCTCAGGATCCTCATAATCATAAGAATGAGTGAGTTAATACACAAAAGGGGTTTAGAATAGTGCCTGGTGTATAGTGTTCGAAGTGTTAGCTACAATAATAAAATAATTATATATACGTACACCAAAGTATTAAAGAGTGGTCACCCCTGAGGAGTGGTCACCCCTGAAGAGTGTGTAGAGATGGGGTATAGTGGAGAGACAGACCCTCACATTTTGCTTCATCCTTCTGTATTTTTTTAAACTATAAGAGTACGCATTTCTGGGGTGGCTGGTTAGCTCAGGTGGTTAGAGCGCAGTGCTCATAGCACCAAGGTTGCCGGTTGGATTCCCACATGGGCCAGGGAGCTGCACCCTCCACAACTAGATTGAAACAACTACTTGACTTGGAGCTGATGGGTCCTGGAAAAACACATTGTTCCCCAATAAAATTTCAAAAAACAAAAAACAAACAAGAGCATGCATTCCTTTCAAATTTTAAGAATAGTGAAACAAAATCACTCAAAAAAATTGAGTCCGGTAAGAAAGGGGTCACTTACTGCTGGAGAGGCGTTTACTGGATAAGAAAACTGGTCTAGAAGGTCCTTTTGAAGGATTAACCAGGGGCCCAGGATTTAAGCTGCCTCCCTAAGTGAGAGGTCTCCTATTTTACTGACCAACTTCTTAGGGAGACTGTGATTTTGAAATGAATGGAATACACAGGATAAAACTTTCACTTTAGGACACAGAGAATGACATGTAAAAACTAACCCCAAAGCTGCTCTTATTACTCACAGCCTCAGCGGGGGAAACGTCTTGCTTTCCGTCTCCGCCCCTGGAGACCCTGTCCAGCAGGTCTCAGACTCCTGCCTGCCTTTCCTGTGTATCCAAGCCCCACAGCACCTGGGGCGCCTTGGTTTCCCCACTCCCACCACCTCCACGTCCCCCAGGCCTCCCCTTGGATCTTCCTCACCAGTGGTTCTGGACAACGTTCTGGGTCTCTGACACCCCAAGCGGTGCCTCAGAGTTCCCTGGGCTGTAGACTTCAATTTCCGCTAATAAATGATGACGAGCTCAGAAAGGGTCAGGATCTTACCTGGCAGGCTTTGTAGTAGGTTCCTTAATAAAGGAAGACAGGGCGAAGAGGAAGAAGAGCAGCCCCGCCAAAAGCAAGAGCCATCGGGCAGCCTGCCCCCGGCGACTGAATCTCTGCAGGCAGAACCTCATGGTGGCGGGTCGGGCCCTCAGGAAATTTCTGCATATCCTGGGGCTTTGATGTAGGCAGCAGGGAGGTCAAGCGCTCCGGGTTTTCTGACCTGAGAATGCACACCTTTGGTCCTCACCGCACAGCTCCGCACGCTGTCTCTCCGTGTCTGCCAGAGAAAGGAGGGGCCGCCTTTACTGCTTTATGAGGGCTTAAAGGCTGGCGTGGCTTGAAGGAAAAGTCCGTTTGTTCAAACAAGTTCTCCTTCCTTTTCTTTGTCTCTGAAGCCAATTTCTGAACAGAGAACTTTATGAGATGCAGACACATGTTACAGGGAACCTCACTGTCACCAGGTTCCAAACCCTTGGGGACCCTGGACAAGTGCATGGGCTGGGAGAAACTTGCACAGCCTCCATGCAACAGCACGAGTTTCATAAGAAAAATACAGGGAGCCCATGAGGTTCGAGACCCCCTAGCAATCTTCCCCTACGAGACCTTTGGGCAATCATGAGAACCTCTCACTTCCTAAGTATTTAGAGTAGCAGTTCTCAGCCTTGGGTCACGTTAGAGCCACCTAGGAAGCTTTAAAACATTGTAATGCCCAGGCTGCACCCCACAATTAAACCGGAATCTTGGGGGATAGGTATTTTTCCAGGCATGGGTATTTTCTCGGTTCGTGGTCCCAATGCATGGCCAAGTTCAGGATCATTGATTTATAGTCACCACTGATTTATAGTGGTGTTTTCAAATGAACAAAGCTCTGCATACAGTGCGCTTGTCAGACCTGGCACAAAGAACGTACACTTCATGAACTTTCTACAGAGTGCTGTGATCTGCTGCCTTCCTTCGACAGGAAACTCAGATGTCCTGCCTCACCTGCAAATGGGAAAAGTGAGGTGGCATCTACCTCATGGGATTATTATGAAGACACCTTCGAAGAGCAGGTACCTGCCATTCTGCTCAGTCTTCGCGTCTGGCCATGACCTTGACAGCAATGACCCGCACACATCTGTGGGTGTGCTCTGAGCCGGGCACTGTGAAATGTTTTGCCTGCACTAATGCAGACCTAATAGCACCTCCAGGAAGGGGCACAATTATCAACCCCATTTTATAGTCGAGGAGATCACCTCTGTGAGCGAGCCGTTTGCCCAAGATCACTGAGCGAACCACTGGCTTGGGGACCAGATCCAACTGACCTGGAGACTATATAGTCTTACCCGAAGCACAGCGGCGCCTCTGAGAATCCATTAATGCTGCTTTGATATGAAAAACAAAACAAAACACGTAACACTTGGAGCAAATGGACAACTCAGAGAAATGATGTCAAGGTCAGCAGTAGAAAACAGACGTCAGAGAAGCAGCAAGGTTACTAATAGAAAAATATTGCTTATAGTATGGTGAACCTGTGCTGTAAAACAGGATTTTTCCAGCAGTGAAGGGGTGAGGGCAGGGCTTTGACGGTTTGGGGAGCTGGGGCCATTGCTCACACATTCTTCCGAATGCTCAGCTTCTAAGTCTGGGCCCAAAGTCCTTGGCCTTCACCCGGTATGCACCAATAACATGCTTAAACAACCTTCCCCAAGGAGGATGAAAAAGGTAGGAACACGAATCCAAGCAGCTGAGAATAACCCAGACAACCGATAGGGTCCCTTTCCCCCACGCCACACGCTGGCACTCACGGCACTGCTCTAGGGGATGGGCTGCGAGCGAGGGGGAAAGTCTCTCCTAGGACTGAGTCAGCCTCTTGCTCTCTGAGCACACCTTACCTGTCAGTGCTCATACACTGACTCTGAACAATCTGAACAGACCTGGGCCAAGTCATAACTCTGCCTTAAAGGACCTTTTGTCCTGAGTTTGCCTGCACCCTTGTCACAAGCAATTACCCTCTCCCCTGGTGCCTGTTTGCAATGCTAGGCGCTTGCAGTGCACGGTGGGAAGGCATTTTTCTTACCCACAGCAGTGGTTTGACCAAACGAAGCGTCTTTTCATCTCACCCTGTGTTTGAAGAAGACACGGGCTGTCAGTGTTGTCTCTGACCTCCCCAGAGCACGGAGAGCCAGCTGAGCTCCTGGCTGCAAGCTGAGCCCCGGGCACAGTCGGTGCCTCTCACCACCTCAAAGGTGGGTTGAACTTGGAGTTCTTGAAGCCAACTGGGGGAGGCAGGATAATCCGGAGTTCCAGTTTCCTGGTGTCGGGTGCCAGCCTGATGCTGCCGTCGTGCATGACCGGGCAGAACGTGAGTGCCAGAGAAATACAGATTTTAGTGGAAAAAGACTTTCCAGTAGTTTTTCAAGCATCATCACAGTTTTTGTGTTTGGTTAAGATCTACTGTCTGCTCCTTTTAAGCTAAAGCTTCTGACTTTAGTCTTCTTTATACTCCAGCCAACAGAATGTGTGAGACCTTACATAAAGGTAAGAGCTGTTAGGTAATTTCCAGTAAAAGGTAAGATCATGACTCTCGTACAGATGTGAAACATGACAGTGTGTCAAAGGTTTTCTTCTACTCCTGAGAGAACCACGCAGATGTATTAACCCATTGAAAAGAGAAGTGCAGCAGCTGAAACATTAATATAGAGGAAAAGTAATTAAATTGAATCGCAAATGGGGGCAAAACTGCTTTTTCCACAGGGAGGAGGGCAAGGGCAGACAGGAAGGACACACCTGGTGTGTCCATCAACTACCTACAGTTTACAGAGTTCTAAAATAGCTCACAGGTGACGGAAGGCTAAAATCAGCTCACCTGGAGGGCTGTCTTTTAGACGATGCCCACTTTTCCCACTGAACCACAACCTTTTTTCTAGAATGAATATGCCTTGGAATCACCCCAACATTGGGATTCTTGACAAGTGTCAGCCATCGGCTCCCCTCTGCTGTAAGATACCCTTGATGACTTAGAGGAATGCCGGGTAACATGGAAAGGGGTCCAACTTTCTAGAAGTCAGCTTGTGGGACACGGTAGGACACTGCATTCAATGCCCCCATGGTATGTCCTATCTTCTCTAATTCTATTTTCTATACCAGGCCCACCGCTGACTTTTTTTTTAACAGCCCTGTTGAGATACAATTTATTATATATACTATATAGTGCACCAACTTAAGTGTACAAGTCAATGGGTTTTTTTTTTGTTGGTTTTTTTTAAGATTTTTTTTTTATTGGGGAATTGGGCGGATGGGAACAGTGCTGGGGAATCGGGGGAAGGGGAACAGACAAGTTGCTGTCCTTTTGTTCTTCAGTCTAGTTGTGGAGGACGTTGCTTCACTGGCCCAAGTTGGCACCATCATTGCGCTCTTCCCGGGCGAGGCAGATCAGTCGCCGGCTTCTGGACGGCCGCTCACACTGGCTGCTGGCCGCTCACGCTGGCTGCTGGCTACACACGGTAGCCCATGGCAACCCACTGCCACAGGAGCTGCATGCAGCCTACACCGCCAAAGGCAACTCACGGCAGCCCAGCTCCAGGTTGAGCTGTTGTTCAGCATCTTAGCTGTGGAGGGCAGTGTCACTGGCCCTCATATGTGGGATCCGAACCGGGGCCCTCTGGCGTCCCAAGCCAGCTCTTAACCATCGCGTCACTCAGCAGGCCCTCAATGGGTTTTAATTATTCAATGGATTTACAGAGTAGTGCAGCCATCACCATAATCTAAGTTGAACACATTTTCTTCATCCCCCAAAGCAGCCTTCTGCCCATGAGCGGTCACCCCGTCCGCCAACTCTCTTCCTTCCCCTGCCAGCTGAAGGCAACCACCAATCTGTGTTCTGTCTATAGATTTGCCGATTCTGGGCAATTCGTGTAAGTGGGTTCATGTAATACGTGACTGGCTACTATTACTTAGCGTAATGTTTTCAAGGTTCATCCACATTGTAGCACGTGTCAGTGTGTCATTCCATTTTATTGCTAAATAATAATCTTCCAGTGTATGGAGGTACTGCCTTTTGTGTTTGCATTCATCAGTTTGTGGCTACTTGGGTTGTTTCCGTATTTGGCTGTTATGACTAATCTTGCTATGAGCATTCATGAACAAGTTTTTGTGTGGATATATGTTTTCATTTCTCTTGGGTAGATACCAAGGAGTATAATTACTGAATTGGATGTCAACTCTATGCTTACATTTTTGAGGAACCGCCAAAGAATTTTCCGGAGTGGCTGCTGATTTCACTTTCCCACCAGCAAACCTGAGGGATGATAGTTCCTCATTCTCGCCAGAATTTATTGGCTGTCTTTTTTACTTATGGCCATTCTAGTGCGTGTGAACCGGTACACTGTGGTTTAATTTGTTTCCCTGATAGCTAGCTAAGGTTGTTGAACATCTCTTAATATACTTATTAGCCATTCATATATCATCTTTGGAGAGGTGTCTAGTCAAATCCTTTGACTGCTTTTAATTGGTTTGTCTTATTGAGTTGTAAGAGTTTTTTATGTATTCTGGATACAAGTCCCTTATCAGATATATGATTTGCAAATAAACATTTTCTCCCAGTTTGTGGGTTGTCTTTTCATTTTCTTGATGGTGTCCCTTCTAGCACAAACGTTTAAAATTTTGATAGAGTCCAATTTATCAATCTCATTCCTCACTTGTTCTTTTGATGTCATATCATTGCCTACCCCAAGGTCATTCTCTATTGCTTTTCTATTCTGCATTTCATTTATTTCCACTCTAACTTTTATTGTTTCCTTCCTTCTGCTTGCTGTGGGTTTAAATTGCTCTCTCTCGCTCTCTCTCTCTCTCTCTCTCTCTCTCTTTTTCTTTCTAGTTTCCTAAAATAGAAGGTTAGGTTATTTATTTATTATTTATTTAGAGATAGTTCTTTTTAAAATATAGGTTTCATATTTTCCTTTAAGCACTCCTTTTGCTGCATTCCATAATTGTTGGGTTTCATTTTCACTTATCTCAAAATATTTTCTAATTTTCCTTGTGACTTCTTTGACTCATTGATTATTTAGGAGTATTGATTTCCACATATTTGTGTATTTCCCAAATTTCTTTCTATCATTAATTTTTTATTTAATTTCTTGTGGTTGGAGAGCATAGTTTGTATGATTTCATTCATTTTAAAAGGTTTATGGTTTAGCATATGGTTTCTTCTAAAAAATGTTCATGTGGACATAAGAAGAATGTGTTCAACTGTTGTTGGGCGGGGTGTCCTATAGATGTGTGTGTCAGGCTGAGTTTGAGCTGGTTTATAATCTTCTCCATGCCTGGTGATTTTCTGCTTAGTAGTTCTTTCCATTATTGAAAGTGGGATACTCAAGTTGCTAACTATTATTGTTGAATTGTTCACTTCTCCCTTCAGTTCTGTCAGTTTTTATCTCATATATTTTTGAGGTCTCTTGTTGGGTGTGTATGTGTTTATAATCGTTTTATCTTCTTGATAGAATGACCTTTGAATCACTATAAAATGTCCCTCTTTATCTCTAAGAACAGTTTTTATCTTGAAGTCTATTTGTCTGATAGTACAGCCACTCTAGCTCTCTTCCGGTTGCCATATGCATGGTATAATTTCTCATTCTTTCTCTCTCAACTGATTTGTATCTTTGAATCTAATGCATATCTTCTGTAGACAGCATATAGTTGGATCTTTTTTTTAAATCCAGTCGGATAATCTCTGACTTTTGATTGGATTATCTAAACCATTAATTAATAATGATATTATTGATACAGTTGGATTTATATTTGCCATTTTGCTTTTTGGTTTTTATGTCTTATGATGATCTTGTTCCTCTGTTCCTCCTTTACTACTTCCTTTCCTCATAAGTGGATATTTCTAACATACCATTTTAATTCCTTTAATACTTTTAAACAAGTTTTTTTATTTGTTATTTTCCTATTGGTTGCTATAGGACTTAACTTGCTCTAGAATTTACAAGATACCTCTTAAACACATTAGAATCTACTTCTTAAGATGTATACTAACTTAATTCCAGTAAAAAAAAAAGAAACTTTATTCCTCTATAAATCCCTTTTCTCTCTCTTTTTGTGATATTTTTGTTATACATTGTATGTCTACGTATGTTAAAACCTCAACAATACATTGTTATAATTATTGTTATATATGATCTTACATATTTTAAAGAAGCAAAGGGGAAAAGGAGAGCACACATATTTATGAGTTAAAAATTTAATCTTATCATTTCTGGTTTTCTTTATTTCTTCTTGTAGATTTGCATTACCATGTGGTATCATTTCCTTTTTGCCAATATAGCTTTGCTGTCACCACCTTCTTTGTGTTGTTATTGTCAAGTATATTAACATTTCTATATGTTATAGGCCCAACAATACAATTTTATAGATATTGTTTTATGCAATTGCTTTTTAAATCAATTAACAGGAGGAATAAAAACAAATAGGTAAGTATGCTGCCTTTGGTTGTTGCCTATATAATTACCTTTATTGGAGTTCTTAGTTTTTTCATGTGGATTCGAATTACTGTCTGGGGTTATTTCTTTTCTGCTTGAAGATCTTCTCTTAGTATTTCTTATAAGGAAAGTCTGCTAGTAAAAACTTCTATCAGTTTTTGTTTAATTTGTAATGTCTTTATTTTACCTGCATTTTTGACCAATAGCTTGGCCTGATATAGGATTTGGGGTTGGCAATTTTTTCTTTCGGCATTTCGTATATGTTGTCCCACTGCCTTCTGGCCACCACTGTTTGTAACGAGAAGCCAGCTGTTAATCTTATTGTTAACACATTTATTCTGATAGATGATTTCTCTTGATGCTTTTAAGATTTTCTCCATCTTTGGTTTGCAACATTTTGACTGTGGTGTGTAACAGTGTGGATTTCTTCGCATTTATTCTACTTTTTTCTCTCTGCTCCTTCCCATTATGCATATGTTGGAGTGCTTAACGGTGCCTGCATTTCTCTGTGGCTCTGTTCATCCTTCCTCATTATTTTTTCTTACTATTCTTTAGGTTGCATAATCTCCATTGATCTATCTTCATGTTGGCTGAGTCTTCCTTCTGCCAACTCAAATCTGTATTGTGCCTCTGAGGTGAATTTTCCTTTTTTTTTCTTTAAAGATTTTATTGGGGAATTGGGGGAGAGGAACAGCATTGGGGAATCGGGGAAGGGTAACAGACAAGTTGCTATCCTTTTGTTCTTCAGTCTAGTTGTGGAGGACGT